GACTGTCCTAACAGTTAAATGTAGCCGTCTGCTTTTACTCTAACAGCTTCTTCTCTCACACTTCCTAACAGTGGAACTCCCTTCCTCTTACTTGCTTCCCTGATAGCTATAATCTTCAAGTATTCAAATGTAATGCCAATCGACATCTTCTGATGCGTTAATCCTAATCCCCGTCCTTCACTCTATCCTTTCCTCAAACACTTCCCTTTACTCTTGCTCTCACTCTCTGTAACCCCTTGCGTGCTAGTGGAACCACGGCTTTATTTGGGGCGAAATGCTTTTAAAAAATGTAAATATTAAATGAGCCTTTGAATGTTTTTCTTCTGGCTTTTTATTCGGATCCTTTTCGACTCAATGTTTTACAAATTATTGAGATGTGTATATCTGTTTCAGTGATATGGGTAGGATTATCTTTTACTGTTAGTTTTGGTATGAACCAAACTTCCTTTGGGATTTTAGTTAATCCATATATTTATATCTTCCTTGGATAACTTTTGAATTATTATTTTTTTATGAAGGACTGATATATCATTGTAAAGAGATACGTCATTGTTGTAATGGAATGTTCCACTCTTCCTATTACTTATTGTGGACTGACTATACAAGTAATATATGCAGTGTACACAGGACATGCCAGGGTCTGTCTGTCTATCAGTCTGACTGGCTTTGAGGAGTGTTCGCCGACTCCCTGTCTTTCAGTAGTGTATTCTCTTTTATAATAAACCTCTCTTCTTTCTTCCATCTACGCCCATGTTGCTGTTCCTTTCCCTTGAGTACCACCTTTGTCTATTTGTAACCTTTTTAATGATATAACAATTTTTAAGTTTGATTAAGCCCTTTTTGATTAGCATGGGTGATTTAATTTCAAAGTTTTTTTAAGAGAAAATTGGAAGAAACAACTGAGATGAGAAAAATATAAAAACATTGTGATAGATAGATAGATAGATAGATAGATTGATTGATTGAAAAACCTTACATAAGAACAGATAGATAGATAGATAGATAGATAGATAGATAGATAGATAGATAGATAGATAGATAGATGAACAGAAATAGATAGATAGATTGAAAACCTTGCATATGAACTGATAGATAGATAGATAGATAGATAGATAGATAGATAGATAGATAGATAGATGGAAAAACCTTACATATGAACAGATAGATAGATAGATAGATAGATAGATAGATAGATAGGCAGGATACAAAGAGTTTGAGTTCAATACTCGGTTAAGGCAGTGGAGAACTTGGAGAGGGGAATTAACAGGAGATAACTGATAACTAACATCCATTAGACATGGCACGTGGAACTAGATCAGTCTACCCCAGCGAGCGAAATAAAAGGTTCAGTTCGACATTCCAACCACTTGAAGAAGGCCGAAACGTTGTAAAAAATATTGTGACAAAGATGAGGACAATAGTCCGAATAATGTAAATAATGTACATAATACGTCAACATAGACATTGAAAAGTGTCGTTTTTGATTTTGCTATTGTCTCTAGAACTTCGTTGTTGCTCACATGTTCTGTCCATGTTATTCTCATCATCCTTCTGTAGATTAGAGATCAGAGAGTCGATTTCGAATTCCATCTCCGTTATATTCATTTATACACAAACGGACTTGGGAAAAGTAAGAATAAATCTTTATTCTTTTAACAGACTTGAACGTTTGGCCTTGGTTGGCAATCAGTCTAGGAGAAGGACAACTTTGAAACAGAATTTTGAGGAGGATTGTCTGGTTTGCATACTATATACACCAGTTCTCTGTATTCGGTTCTTCGGAAAAATATGGTTGGTACCGCAACTAACACAGTGAACGTTTGCTTTTTCAACGTCTTTTGGGACTCAAGTTCACTCCAGGCCTCACGTGGAACTTATATATACGAACCATCCCTAAAGATGCTAGAAAAATGGTCGGCACTTTTTTCCCGCTCAAAAAGTACCGGGTTCTTTCTACCATGCTTTATCTTTAAAGGATTCACATTCGACCAAAATGGAGTCTTGCCCTCATGTCTTGACTGAAGTTGTCCAATCATTACTTTCTAGCCTTGGCGTGGTCTTGTAGGAGATAACATACTTCCCATCCTACAACCTCTTTCCATACAGTCGCAAAGTAGTAACACTATCAATACTCTATTGCCATTTCCAAAAGTTTAGATGGGTTCAACTCTTTAGTTCCCCCAATTCGGAGATTTTGAGCTAGGACTTTCTGTATATTGTGGAAAGATCTAAAATTCCCTCCGTATTCTATTTGGAAGGAGGAAGTTGTAATCAAACAGCTTTTCTTTTTTTTTCTAGAGAACTGTTATTAATATTCACTTCTTTCTATTTACATTTTCCCAGCTTTGGTTAAATAGTAGGACAGACTGGGTTCTATAGCCTTGGGTGGCAACTGATCTAGGAGAAGGAAAACTCTGAATTCGAAACATTCTGTAGCCCTGGCGAAGCACATGTTATGCAGCTAAGGAAAGGATCGTTCGCATTGACTTGATGATTCCTACTACGGTTGATTCCTTAACAGACTGGGTTCTATAGCCTTGGGTGCCAACCGGTCTAGTAGAAGGAAAAACTCTGAATTCAAAATATTATGCTGCCCTGGTGAGGCACATGCAGCTGAGAAAAGGATAATTCGCATGAAATCGATGATCCAGACTACGGTCGACTTATTCATTCTACTTACATCCATATGACCCCATTTCAGTAACCCTCTATCACGAGTGACTCTTGAGCCTTCTACTGGGTGAACTTTAGCATAACAATGTTCTGAACGAGTTTGATGGGCCTGCATGATGTCCATATAAGAGCCTCGGTTTGACGTGGCTACTTAAGAAGATGAAGTAAAAAAGAACATTTAACAAATCGATCAAATTGCTTTCAACGTCTTCTGTTTTAGAAGAGCCTGAAAACTATATTGTCATTTCCATTGTTGTATCAAGTTCATGCTCGTTGCTTTCAGCTAGTAAAACGTAAATGTAATCAAAAAGTACATGGGCGGTATGTCTCTGGTCTCTATCCTAAAACCCAATTGACGAACGACGAATTATTCGAGGAAGCCATTTGATAGGAAGCCCTTTATATTGGTTCTCTTGTTTCGCATCGATCTCTTCAAAGAACTTCTTTGTTTTTACGTTATTTTATTTCTCCATGGTTGCTACTTTCATTTTTTACTCTTCTTTCTTTAAATCTAGAAGTTTACATTTTCATCTCTTTAGGAGGGTGAAAAGTTTGTGTTACTAGATATATAGATACCAGATGTTTTAAAAATGTCCTTTTTTTCTTATAGTTTTTGTGTAAAACTTTTTAAAGAGTTTTTCTTTCTGTTTTTTTTTAAAGAGTTTTTTTGCCGAAGTTTATGAAGGTTTTTTGCCAACGTTTTGTTTTAATTATAGCTTTTAAAGAGGTGTTTGTGCCAAAGTTTTTTAAAAGAGGATTTACTGCACAAGATTTTAAAGAATTTTTTTTTTTTTTTGTCAGCGTTTTGAAAGAGATTTTTGCCTCAATGTTTTTAGGGAGTTTTTTGTGTATGAGATTTTAAAGACTTTTCTTTTTGTCAGCGTTTTTAAAGAGGTTTTTACCTCGATGTTTTTAGGGAGTTTTTTTTTCTGTAAGAGATTTTAAAGACTTTTTTTTGTCAGCGTTTTTAAAGAGGTTTTTACCTCGATGTTTTTAGGGAGTTTTTTCTGTAAGAGATTTTAAAGACTTTTTTTGTCAGCGGATTTAAACAGATTTTTGTGTCAGAGTTTTTAAGGGGAGGTTTTTCTGCCAGAATATTTAAACAGTTTTAAAAGCAATTTTTATCAGAGATTTTGAGTCAGTTTTTAACGAGGTTTTTGTTCCCGAGATTTTTTTAAACGGGCTTATTCAACCTATACAGTGAGTCGATTCTAAGATAACTAGAAGTTCTACCAGGATTCATTATTGGCGGTCA